TATCTTCCCTCGTTGATGTAAATACGAAAGGTTATCTCATAATAGGTTTGGTTGCTTTGTAGAGAGCAGATGGGGCTGCTACAACCGAATACGATCCATTATCGATCGAGTTTTTCACAAAGCACAAATATGCTTTATTTGTATGATCAAGATAGAGAGATTCATGAAGCACTTTGATATGCGTTTTAAAATTGAATTATCAATATGGGTTTTTTTGTGCACTGGGCCTATCTTAAGGCGTTTGATGAGTCTATCATGTCGAAGTCATATACAGAGAGGAAATGAAGATGTTCGAATACGATTGGTGATATGAAGATGGTAATCACGGTGTTGTGGAATTACAAACTAATTGTCCGTGGGATATGAGTCGGAGCTACGAGGGAAAATAAAGATGTTCACTAACTTTAATTTGCCATGAACTAACTTGCCAGTGAAGCAGGTCTGGACTTTGCATGCTAGTATATTGTACTACCCTAGCCTACAAGTCACGAAGCAAGGTTGAGTAGGGATACAACAAATGAGTCGATTCCTAGTGTAGAGGATTCCAAGCTGATACAGGCGTGCTAACCGAATGGGCAATTGTTGCAAGGTATGTACATACATCTTGACGGATTTTGGAGTAAAACAAGAAGTATTGAAGTGATATAGCAACGAGGAGTTAGGATACCTATCGAAAGGATGCATTAAACCAATGTGCTATCGACCAAGCCACTTTGGCGAACCAACCGGCTACAACATAACATCATTAGGGAACGACAAGCAGTGGGAGTTGTTCACAATACTAATAACAACTACAACAGAGGGGGGAATGAAAACTACGACTATAGGAACGACTACAAAAATCTCATATCTAACATGAAAACTTTTGATGGTGTGGGCATGATGAGTAAGTTTCAAGCAACAATCATCGAAGAGCAGAGACTTGAAAGAGATCAGCGAAAGGAGTATGAAGAGCGGCAAATTAGAGAAGAAAAAGAAGAAGAAAAAATTGATAGAATTGTGTGAGAAGTAGAAATAGAAACGCTGGAGGAAAGGGAGCCTAGGTTGTCAATACTCATCTACAATAAACTTGAGAAAAAGGATAATTGGAAGAAATGAAAAAACAGATGACGACATTCAGGGATGCTATCAAGGAAATGAAAATCAAAACAACGAAGAATCCAATAATGGTGGAAGGTATTATAAGTGATATGCTACTTCTCTGAAACACGAAACTGGAATGAAATATCAATAAGAGGGGAAAGGGAACAAAAAACAATAAGGTCAAGCTAGAAAAATAAGAAAAGGGGACCAGGACAAGAAGCACCAAGTGAAAAAGAGGCTCGACTACATAAGAAAAAGAGCAGATGAGAAGAACTCATGGAGACGAAATTGCAAATATAAGAGTGACATAGCAATCATCAATGCCAAACATGAACACTTTGTTGACATCAAGGTCGGTGCTTACACCACCAATACTGTTCCTGCTTGAAAATAGATTTCGCGGCAGGTTACGTGGCAGGCAAGCGGGTTTGGGCCGCCGTCGATAAATTTCATCAGCGCCCCGTTTTCCATGTCGGGCCTTCGGAACTACCCGCGGTTAATATATGCAAAAGGTACGGGTGGTTTAACACTCTGGTAACGGGTGTGAGAGCAAGAGGATTGAACCAACGCTTTGCACAAAAGGAACTAAATCCAACAATACAGAGGATGGTCATAATAGTGAGGGTCGCGCCGACCAACATTGGGGTCGACAAACTATAAGTCTAGGTTTCAACTTAATATTGTTTGAACGAAAGGCAACAATTGTGAAGCGTGGAACGAAGAATGAAGAAAATACGTATATGACATGAAAAGACACCTTTAGATAAAAAATATGAAGCATAGGAAGAGATGTGCAAGGATAATGATATCAAACAAACAAATTGGTAGACATCATCAATGCGCCCATAAAACAACGAGTCGTGAATGCTTACGAGAAGCAAGTGTGTGCAGTGCCTATCACAATAACAAAAAAAAAAACAATAATTAATGAAGAAGAAATAAAAATGAATGGTAATGAGAGTTGAAACTCACCGCGCCCGTGAGCTATTATGGAAGATGAGTCATGATAAAAACAAAAGAAATAGAGACAAAGAGAAAATATTTGAAATCAAATATAAGCTAAGGAATTTAATTGAGCTACTGTCTTAACTCGAAGAAAATGTACAAAAGTTGTATTCAAATACAACGTATGTACGTTATACAACGAGTTTTAGGGTACAACTTTGCATGAGCCTATAGTACCACCGTCATGCTCTCGAATTTTGTTGAGAATTTTGCCAAGACACTGAGGCAAAAGTTGTTTGCACAACATAGTTTTTTTTTTTTTTTCTTTGATATTTAAAAAAAAACAAAATTTTAAAAAAATAAAAAACAAACCGTAATTTTTTTTTTTCCTCTCGTTTTTATTTTTTTCTCAAATTTGACTGTGAATTTCAATACGACCCTTAGGCAAAAGTTGTTTGTATTGCAATACTATGCAACTTTTTTTTTGCATCTATAACGTATTTGATTGAATTTCATCATGCATACTAAATAAAAGTGCAAAACACTCAAACCCAAAATAAAAACAGGAGCGCAAATTGTGCACAATCAATTGTTTTTTCAAAATTTTGACAGCTACTTTACCAAAGTGGATTTACAAATATAAAAAAATAATAAAATAAAATTGTATGTATACCAACCCAGATAATTTTTTTCAAATGTTTTTTTTTTTTAAATCATACGAACAAAAAATTTTGAGTTTTGCTTCGTGCCTTGCCACGTTTGGGCTGGTATCCCACCTACACCTCGCGTTGACGAACCCCCCGTTCAACTACATCTTGGAGACACGGTCATAGATCTTCCAAGGACCGACTAAATCGAGTGATCTCCTTTCATGACAGGCAATGGTCTCGGGAATGAGTTTGTGTTTCCATATGTTTTTCATGCATGCTCCATGCATGAAATAAGTCATGTCCGTCTTGTTGCGATTTTTTAGTTTTGTAGGTTTTGTTTTATTTAGTAAAAACTTTTGGCGAAACTTTCAAGGCTTCTTGTGAAGCAAGAAGCGAATATGTTGTTTCATAATTACAACAACTCATGAGTTTTCAAGAGGTTTTGTCGTCCGAGTTCTTGAAACAACATGAGCTATATATATTGGACAAACAGAACATGCTTTGGGGGGGTGATGGAACAAACACACAAAAGTGACAGAAAACAAAGAGGGTGGGAGAAGTGAGAAGGTATAGAAATGGTTGAGGAAAATAAGTTGGATGGTCTATCAGTCATGTTAGTAGCATGACAAGGAAAACTTACTCCTTTGGGCATTTAACTTTGACGTTTTGAGTCACTATTTCGAAGCTTTTTTAATCGAAATCATTAGGTCCTACTGGCGGGAACCCGGTGATTCCGGTTCAAAAAACGCCGAAATTCGGCTAGGAATATCAAAGCTAGATGCCCAAAAGGGGTAGCAGAACTCAAGACGTTCTACACAAAATACTACTTCTCGGTGCTCAATGGAAAACTCAATAGAAAGAGATAAAAGCAAAGAAGAGGAGAGAGGAAAGAAAGGAAAGCACTTCGCCTTCACAAAGATGTTGTGAAGCCAGTAGTGCCAATGAACATCCATGATAACAACAAAACGTTTTCCACGTCGCCTTCACAAAGATGTTGTGAAGCCAGTAGTGGCAATGAGCATCCATGATAACAACAAAACATTTTCTTCAATAATTTGAGTGTCGCGGGAGATACTAGCAGAGGGAGAGCAAAAGTCAATAATGTTTGGCGAAGGGACTAGACCAGATTGTGCGAGAAATGGTCCATGATAAAAAGATGTTTTGGATATTCATAGATTCGGTACGAGAACGAAAAATGTTGTTGAAGAATTGAAGGGAAACAAATTTAGCCGATAAAAGTGTTGAGATGATAAATGTTGCAGTATATTAGAGTCAAGAAGGTTATGATATTATGACCGCATTAGTCATAACCATGACGCATAGAAAGGTGTTGTACAACCGAGTATACTCGTCCAATAGGCTGGTTCGACTATGCTACATGGTTTGTTTTTTTAAGAATAAGAGGGGTCATCTTCAGGGGACTAATCACTACAACGATTAAAGCAAAATTCACAACGAGTGTCATGAAAAGATTAGTAATTACAAGTGGACGCTGTGGCAGAGGGGAGGGACGAAGAGGGGGGCGGGGCTGTTGTTGTTACATTGCCGAGTTTTTTTATTAATATTTTTTTTTGTCATCATATTCGCTATACACTAAAAAAAAACATGACTGTGGCAGACTGTTTCCGAGCGATCAGGAGGTTGTGTGTGTGTGTGTGTGTGTGTGTGTGTGTGTGTGTGTGTGTGTGTGAGCCTCTGTCTCTCTCTCTCATCCCATCGATGGAAGTAGGCTCTCTCTGTCTGTCTGCGTGCATGGCTTGAAAACTCTCTCTCTC